TTAGGGGATCTGCTGTGCTTTCTTGAGGAGGTAGTCATGACCCTGGGGTTTGTATCTACAGAGATCTAGGGAGCAGCTACAGCCTAGCAACTGAAAGACATTTTTAGTCAAGGCAAATGCCAAGAAAACTCACCACCACCACCCAGAAGCAGAAAAGAATGGGGAATACTAGGAGGTATCTGCGGAGCACAAGTAGCATGGTGAAGGAGCACATCAAGAAGAGCAGAGAGATCTGACTAAAGCTGCTCTGGGTTTTTTTTGTGACACTTACAGCATGAGTCAGATCCTGTCCTTTGCACCTAGTAGCACAGTTGTTCACTGAGCTGAGGTCTGGGTGGAGGAGCATGGGCTGGGGAAGGGACTCCCAGCAGCCTCTCCACTGGAGCAGAAACCCAGACAGGGCAAGTCAGAGGAGTAAGCATCTGCAACACCTTGTCCTTCTTCAGGTGCTCCTATCTGAACATAGGAAGAGTTTTAGCACTGCTTCCTGCAGCGAGGTAGCCATTACAACCTCTGCTTCTGTAGCAGGGAGGAAAGAGGAGAAACTGAGGCACAGAAAAGGGAAATGGCTTGTGCCAAGGACCTGGCTTCCTCATCCTGTGCTTTGATCACAATTGCTAGTCCCTATCCCCACTGCGCATCAGCACATGTAAAGTTCCTTACTGCTGCATCCTCACTCTGCAACGAAGTGTAACAGTGCTTCCGTGAAAACAGGCTGCCTCGGTGTCTTGCATAGCTGTGAGGTATGTGCAATGCCCCTAAAAACACTGACTTCACCAAGTGAATGCAGAGGTGCTGCACCTTTCTGCTGGTCCTAGATGCTGAACCTTACAGCTGCTCCCTCTTTCAACTGAGACAGTTCTTTAATCAGTTCCTTTCTCCCAGCCATGGATCCCACTCTAACTGATTTATGCTAGTCCCTTCTATTATTGTCCTTGGCATCTCCTGTGCTGTCTCCAACCTCTCCTTCAAGGAAAGGCATTATGCCCAGATTTCTGCTCCGCTGTGCCCTCTTGTTAACTTCAGATTCATTACCCCAGCTGCTTGGATTTCTTAATATCTCGAATGACTTGCTGGCAAACAGAGGTTTACTTTTCTCCAAAATTCAGAATTTCTACACCAAAATCATTCCTGAAGACTTCCAACACTTGCTTCATCTATTACATGCTAACTGCGCATTAACAACCTGGCAGGACTTCTTTAGGCTTGCAAAGATCAGGAAGGCAATCTTGCAGTCAGGGACTCAGGTTGCAGACATAGGAATACAATCTCCCTGTCTCTGCTGGTAAGCCAGGGTTATTTAAAGGGTTGGCTGTGGCTTTTGGTAGGCATATGATAGATTAGGTCAGGACTGGTTCCTAGATGGATTTCTCTTGCACAGTTCTGCAGCAGCACATGCTACGTAACATCACCTAGATCACATATAACCTCTCCTTTCATACCTATGACGTGTACAGTCTCAGTATACTGAAGATACAGGCAAAAGATAACCTTCACCTGTACACACTATAACCTCAATGGAGCCTCAGCAAAATATATAACCAAAGCGCCAGAGTATGGCAGTTCAGTAACTTCTGAGAGGACAATCCTGACAGCAATACCTGTAAATCTGCACCTGCAGTCTGATATATTCGTCTAGTGAATTACACACATTGAATTCCCTGTGCAGGAAGAAACCTTCTTGTGCTTTGGACATATACACATAGATACTACTTTACACTACCGGAATTAGAGCACCAGTTCCAAACATTCAGCAATGAGGTGACTATTCCCACTTTAAGTGCAAAGTCACATTTTTCCTAAGCACAAGAAAAGTTGTCCTTTTGCCCAGCTTTTGCAAATGGTCCCTGCTGGGGCTGTCTATAAGGGAGGAGGTGAAGCAACAAAATCTCGGCTACCAGCCCACCATTCTCCTTTAGTTAGCAAACAACTGCCCTGACCCTCCATCCCTTGTGCCCAGACTCTCAGTGCGTGGGCAAGCCACAAATATTTACAACTCCTCTGAAAGCCGACTTCTTTACGAATCTTCATAAAGTCAAAACACAATAATAGCCCTCTGTATCTTGCATTTCACTACCACGGGTTTTTAGCTTTTTTATCTGGCTCTAGCAGAACACTGAAAGCTGATGGGCACTAGGGGAAACTGGTGCAGAGCATAGAAACAAACAGTTTCTCCACTCTACCTTCCAAAGGCAGCGCTGGGACACATGGTGGAGGAGATTTGTGATTCTTTCGCAGCCTCCTCCCTCTATAGTACAGGCTCATATCCAGGATTGCAACATACTCCCTCGATCCCCTCCAGCTGCCACTTTGGCAGAGGCCATTATAAAAGCCTGAAAGGTGCTAAAGGTACTTTCTGCAGCAGATGTCAACGTGATATCCACAACTTTCAGCAATTCTGCCACTGGCCTGCTGTTCTTGGGAGGCCTGATAGAGGCCTGATGTGATTGCAAAGTCATATCCTCAAAAGTCAGCCTGAATTCAGCACCTTTGTACAACAGGATTAAACACTACTTTTTTTCATAGAGCTTGCTCAAGAGGGACATATTCTAGTGATAAATTAACACTGTGTAAGGAAGATGACTGGAATCTATAGCACTCCTGCTAGCTGCATAACACAGAAGGTGCAATTAGATGTATTAAAAGGATCCTGACTGGAAGAGACAGACTTACGGTCAGTATAACTAAACACTACTTTGAAGGTATGAATTTGGATATACATACCTTCCACCCTATGTACTGATAAAACGGAAGGGATAGTCTTATGGCAAGATCAGCAAATGCTTATGTCATTTAAGGCTAAAATTGCATAGATCTGGCATTCACTTCTTGATTTCTGGCATTTCCCAAGTTCAGAGTGTTTGATTTTAAATCTGGGAAACGTACTGCTCTGTGGGTAGTTTAGCACACAAAAAAAGCAACAGAAAAGGATATAGTTAAAGGCTAAACTTTGGATGATGTGAGTATGACTGCTCCTTCATACGATTAGTCTCCACTCTCAGAGACTAACCTTCACCACTCAGTAGCTTCCTTCCTTTGACTATACTAAAACTGCATTCATTTGCTTTCTCCTTTATAGTCAATTTCTCTCACAGTCCAAGTGATAAACATATCTTGTTTAATACTTGAAATTAATTTCACAGGGGTGCCTAGAAACATTTTCTAGCCTATTTTGCAAGCAAGATGAAACAAAAGACTAGGTGATATTAACATGACGATACCCCACCTGCACCCATGTTCTCCTGATTGAACTTGCTGAGAACAGACTCCGAATCAACAGACAATGTCAATAGCATTTGATTTGCTGCTTCTGTAAAAAGCCATGTCATATATCTGAATAAAGGTGTCTGTTTAATGGTAATGTGAAAAAATAGCACTGGGTAACATTATAAAACAATGACCACTTTCCAGAGAAGGGCTATTCCTGTTTTCCAGAAATCGATCTAGTATCTGCCAAAGCATAGCAATGACTTTTCTGTGCAGTGCAGTAGGTAAGATGGTTCCAGTTGCCTGCTTAAAGTGCAAACAGCTCACAAGGCAGCCATTTACAAGGCAGGACCGCAGCGCACTAAGTGAGCGCAGGACAGCTAATGTCACCCCCTACTGCTTTTTTTAATACTTCTGTCAGCTCAGCAACACAGTGACTGCTGCTGGCAAAAAACATGCCTGGCATTTCTGACGGCTTCCTGCAGAGTTACATGGAGAAGAGACAGCCTGAAGGCTCAAAATGAGATCAGCACACGGAAAACATGCCTCACATTTTCATGCTTGTCTTCTTCTGCTGGGGAGAGGTATGTGTGGGGGGAAAGGAGGAGGGGCAGCGAAACGAATTATGTTGTATAGACAAGACAGTGTACCAACAGCTCTAATAGCAAGAGGAAGATATCACCTTAGAGACTACAAATGTGACCTGGCAAAGCATCAAGAAAATTTGGTAATGGTACTGAGACATAAAAATAAAATAATTATTTCTACATATATGTACAACTATCACAGCACTGTGATGGCTGAGTTTAAATACTCCCAAGTGTGACCCTTGGCTTCCTTTATGGGACACTATGTCTTGGGCCAGCAGGGGGAATGATGCCACTGGAAGAAACAAGCACACTGCAAAAGATCAGAGAATGAGGCCAGATCTACTCCTCATGACAAAATCTATCATAATCCTGTAGAAAATGGCTATGTGAATTGCATATCCAACATCAGGGATTTGATTTGGAGTCACCATTGTGGGGACTATGCTGAGACCAAAGGGATTAAATCGAGAACACCAGACCAAAGTTACCATCCACCTAACAGTCACCCCTATTTACTCCACAGCTCATGTCCTTCCCCAGTGTTCCTGAACCTGCCTTGTCCTTAAGCTCGGAAGAAACCTGGGAGAAGGAACATCACTGTTTAGACTAGATGTCACATCATGGAAGCATCAAACAGGAAGCAGGGAAAGTCTCTTTGGCCTTAGAGGGAAGAATCTGTCAACGATGCATTGGGAGACAAAGAAGAAAAAGGCATGAGAAGGGAGTAAGAAAACATTTTCTGGTATTCAGCATGAAGAGATTTAAACATCACGGAACTAGCAACCTGTACAAAATTGGCACACTCTTCCAGAGGTAATAAATTTATATCCAAGCACTGCTCTGAGCATGAGTAAAGGTGGGGAAGCAGGGCGGAAATTCTCAGAGTCTTATAATTTTCCATGTCTTAGGCAAATTCAGACAATACTATCTCACAGGTGTGAGAATACCTTGGTTGCATGGTCAAATTTTTTTCTGTTACTTCAAAGAGTTAATGCTAAATGCTCTTCAAGAAGAAGTCTATACAGGACTTCATACAGAGGCTGGAATATTATAGTTGCTCTAAGGAAACAGGCAGTGATGACGTTTACTGTGGCATGAATCCACCTGAACCTGAAACTGAAAGGAACAGATAGGCCTCCACATCCAATTCACCCTGTAAAATGCTGTCTCCCCAGAGAACATTTTCTAGTTCATCTTTCCTACCTTTTCACTGTCTGCAAACTCCTGCAATATAATTTGTCTCTCCACACACAGTTCCAAGAAGTCTTCTGAATGGAAACTTTCATGTAGAGCAGGGAAGAATGTTAGCTGGTTACAATCCAATCCCTTCTTATCCATCTCCCTTTCCACTCCATTTAACGTCAGCTCTCCTATATCAGTATAGAAGAGATTGCAGTTTTAGTGGCAGCCGGTTGACACCAAAAGCATTTGTAATCTAGAATTTCACCCAATCTGTTCTACCTTGGCAAATAGCATTATGTATTTGCAAAAAAAGTGCATGAGAGAAGTAAAATCTGTTTCTGCTAAAGAATGGTGCTTAGTTCAGGGAACTAAAAACAGGTAGATGCACTCAGTCATAATTCAAACTAAATTCCTGCCGTCACCGAAGAGTCAAACATATTGAACAAATGTATTTACTCTCATTTCTGCACTGTGTTGGGCTGGTCATCTGATAATCAAATAATTTTAAAAAAAGAATCTGTTCACATACATAAAATTAGGAAAAACTGAAATTAGTATTCTTTTGTGGACATGCACTGAGCAGAATCTTAAAAGAACCAAGAAGAGACAATCCACTCATATCTTGCCCAAATTTCATCCCAAGTTTTGCAGTTCATGTAGGTAGAGAAGGCAAGATCAGCCTGCTTACTGAGGTAGACTGTAACTAGTTTCATGCAGAAACTATGTAGTACTTCAATCTTGTTTGGAGTCTAGAGCAATAAGCTCCACTCTCACTTGTTTGCTAGGCCCTATAACACTAAAAGGTATACAACAATATGGCCCATTTCCAACAGTGTACACTAGAAGCTTAACTTGGAGCAGCCATACAGGTGGCTGAAATCCACAGCCTTAGACTTGACTGACATATCTAAACTACAGTTATTTCTCAATGTTTTTTTTTTTCACTTTCCTCTGAGAAACTATTGACTTCTGTACCATACTTGTCTCCCCCTTCCATCCCTCTTCTTTTAATGTCTCATGTGACAGAAAACCCGGCCATGGAAAATGAAAAATGTTGACATAATGATCATATATGGAAAGATCTGGTTCTATTTGGAATGCTGAAAAACAATTTGACATGTTAATATTCTTGATGATTTCTTCCCACTATTCAGTATTCTGTCCACATTCTTTGAAAGTTACAAATCCTATTACCACTCCTCTGAGCCATCTATCACCTGGTTTTAAATACAGAGGTAGAACTGGAGAGTCTACTAAAAGCAGGAGGAAAGTCTGCACTTTTCCTTCTGAGTTTGAGGAGTTGGGAGCTTCCCAAGTGCCACAGAATGCCCAAAGATTTCATCTCAAGATAGCTTTTTTGCTTCCAGATCTTTCTTGTGGCAACAAGAGAGTAACAAATTCTGAAGGCAGTTTATATACCTCCTATAGCAATTGCATCAGTCTTTTCCCAGATTTTACAGTGACTTTTTAGCCCAGAGCACTGACAATAATTTTTTTTCACTAGACAAAATTCTGACGTGGAGCTCCTTACACTAACTCCAGTTCTCTTTGGCTGTTTGTGTCCACCCTCTTCATGATGTAATTTAGTCTTAAATGGTTACCTGGATTCACTTCAGCAGTGGGGGTTGTTTCATTTCTGTTTGCAAGGAGAACCTGAAAAGACACTAGGTATGACTAGAGTGGAATATGCAGACAGGTAAGCATAACCCAGAACCTCACTGCAGAGATTTAGAACTACGTTGCAAATAAATGCCTTGGAAATTCAAATAAACCCATTTGAATAGACCCAAAGGAACAACTAAATATAGGAAGAAATGTCACCAATTAAGCAAAAGGACTATTTTTTTTTCGAAGACCCTGCATAATGCCAGTTATAGGATAAAAAAACATACCACTTAGTCTACATAAAACTGCCAGAATCCAAGCTTCACATAAAAGCTGAAAATGTCCTAGAGACATGGCAACCTCCTGATATCTTAAAGTGCTTCATCTTCTGGTTGATAGAATTTGGCACTTAGACTACTATAGAGACAGACAGTAGTAAATACTCCACATATACAGTTTAGCTTAGTTCAAATCACTTTAATTCTCCTTTTCATCATCCACCAGTTCTAGCAGCCCTAATAAGCATAAGACTATCTGTCTGGAGAGATCTTTTACCAGAAAAGAGGGAAAATCATGCTGTTACTGCTAAACATATTGCAGCCCCTCTTACTCTCTCAAAACCAGACCTGTTCAGTGGATTCCCTGTGCATGGTACAGCATATTGATGAGTCAGGTGATGAGAACCAGAGGAAAGAGGTGAGCATAAAGTCAGCAGCAACTGTTACAGAAACTGTGCATCCCCTGCAAAAGCTTTCTACCTCACTCTTCATTTGCATCATTCTCACTGGGGTGTTCGCATGCTGAATCCTCCTCCTCATTCGTGAAGGACCTTCATAACAATCAAGAATCCATCGTGGCTCTAAGGATCGTGATGCATCTCCCCATGGGCCCCTTGTGTAGAAAAGCTGTTCCTCAAGTATCATCCAGTCTTTGGCTGCTTTGCTGTAACCACACTGCAGCATCTGTGGGACAGAACAACTTCGTGCCACCTTTTGGACACTTCCGTCCTCCCATCCAGCAGCTGCACCACCCCAGTGATTCAGAGGTATCTACCCAGCCTATGAGATGAGATCCACTCCAGAGGGAATGCTGCAGACCCAGCAAACACAGGTCCAACTGACCACTGAAAGTGTGCTAGTGGGAGATGCTGCTAGTCAAACTAAGATACAGTGACAAATATAAGCACGTCGCATATATCAGCCCCCTTGAAAATGTCTGTTTTCATTAGATTTCCAACTCAAAAGCAGTAAGCAGCAGTGAGAAACTAGAGTGAGGTTTATTCACTCTAGTTTTTTTCTGGCAAATGTTCTTGTCAAATGACAACAACCACGCTCGCTTAAAACACAACCAGAAAGTCTCAGAAGTGTACTGTTCTCCCTCCAAGCATGGTATAAATTTAATTATTTCTACATAAAAAGTATGTGCAGAAAGTTGGGGGGCATTCAAATATCAATTTAAAGGAGAGAAGAGGTGAGAATTTCAAAGAATTAAAAGCTTGTTGGTCTCTGATGGCCAATCCTTAAACAGAAACATACTTCTGAGATTTTTCTGGCTATGAGCTTGAGACCTCTTGAAAAGTTTTACTGGCTGTTAAGAAGAAAATGTCAAAGTCCTCACTTTCATTTCTGCACTCTGAGAGTGGAATAATTCATTTAAACAAAAGAAAAAAGGCTCCTGAAGATAAAGTGAGGAATCTGATTTGTAGTGATGCTGTATCACACTTCAGTGGTGATGTCAGGAACAGAGTATTGACTCATAAACTCTCAGCATTTCTTTGGGCATACTACTCATCTCAGTTCTGAAATGCATGATTTCTGAGGGTAGTCCAAGAACATCATGTCAGCAACAGAAAGCTGTTGCACAATATTTCTGTTCTTTACCTGTATGTGGTTCTTATACAAAGAGGCATACAGCTCCTGCCCAGTTCTTCGGTACCGTTCCATACATGATACAAATCCCTAAAAGAAACAACAGAACACGTTATACCAAGGTGCTGCAGGTGTAAACTCTGTGAAGGGCAGAAGCAGGCATTAGTTGCTCTGTCTTTTACAAGAATAATTAGGCAATATGGTCTGTGTCTGCAAGTTTGATGGCTCTCCAGACAGTATAGTGATGAGGCAATCATCTGTAAGCAAACTGCACACTTACACAAGGAAAATAAATGTGTTCATGATCTTAACAAGGGTCATTAGTGGAACTACTCAGAAGGAGAAATAAAACAGCAAATATAATTTAAGGTTCCTCCTTTTGGAGCTGAATTAGTTAGTACTGCTAGTAGCATAAAGACAATTATCTGTTATAGTGACCCCAAATGGGTTAAGGATCCATAACGATACACCTGATCCTCATTGCATAAACAGAAAGTGCAAAGAAAAGAATGGTCCATGTCCCCTTTTTGCAGAGAGGAAACCAACTGTTTCCAAAACATTTTCGAGATCTAGGAACCTAAGTCCTCTCGTAACAAGTGACTTGGAGTGTAAGTACACTAATTAATGGGACTGGGATGCAGAGATGTCTGAGCTAGCTCTAGAACTGGAAACTTGTGGAGCTGTGCCAGTGCAAGATGATACCCATAATAACTGCCTCTGTTCCACTACACAGCACAGACATGCCCTAAGCCCCAGTGTTACTGTGGTATTTCTGGAAATACGTGTTTTCCAAAGCAGTCTGACAGATCTTCCTGGCCACCTTTTCTTTTCTTCCAGAGTGCACTAGACTCACAGAGCAGTGAGTCCTCATTAACACTCATACACTTCATCTACTCTTTTATTGGAATGAAATTCTCAAGCTAAGGGTCTCTGTGCGAGTACAAGACTGATGAACTCCAGTCAAGAGATTACGAGTTGCGTTCCCCACTCTGCAAACAGACTGTTACTTGATCTACAGCAAAACATGCAACTGCCCTAAACTGCTACCTCTCCAACCACAAAACAGACTATAATACTAACCTCAGAGTTACACAGGTTAAGATCATGAGGAATGGTCCATTGTGGTGGGATCCTTAAACTCAGGGAATAGAGAAATTAAAAGAGTTTCATTCCCTTCTTACCTACTCCACCAAAATCATAGGTTTTGGGGTCACAAGTTTCACACAGCCAAGGCATATACAGAACACAAACCAGAGAATTTCAAACAGTGCTTCCTATCTGAGCCTCCCTTTTGAAAAGGCCAGCAGAAACATTATTAAACTCAATGGAATCCCTCAGGTGCCAAACTAGCATCATGCAAATAACAACAAAATACAACCTAGAATATTCACTATCATACTAATACCTCAAATTCAGCTGTTAAACTTTAATCATAGACAAGCTTCCAGCTTTGAAAATGCTTGGTTTGTTCCCCCCTTTCTCCTAGTCATTGCTGAAATTCTGGATCCCAAAAATACCTGAAGCAAAGTATTTGTTCTCATGACATTTTTTTGCCTGGTCAGAGAGACGAAGCATACGGAAAGGCCGTGTGTATAGCCGAAGCACTGAACAACTGCCGAGTAAGCTACTGGCTTGTTTTATTTTATTGCACAGACGCAGCTGAAGAACCAACACAGAACTCTGCTTTAACAGACTGTCCAACACTCGTGAGATGGTTCTTCAGTCTTGTAACTTGGCCTTTTCTATGCAAACACAAGGATAGCTGCTCCATCTATTTCTCTCCTACTCAGTATCTCTTCGTGTGACTGCTGACAAGTAGCTACTGGGAGCAGTTCGGTATCACAGCCTTCTTACTATCAGTCTCAGGTAAAAAGTCTTCTGTTTGACAGTGTATTTCCTGTAAAATATTCTAACTATCCTATTACAACTACGTGATGTCATGTCTGATCTTCCGGGCATACTTGCTTTAAAATTTTCCAAACCAAAAGTTCTCAGAAAAAGCAACTTTTTTTCTTGAAGTCAATGGCACAGCACATTGAGTCCTCACTCCACATGATACTCCTAATCACTATGGAAAGAACCAGAATCCCCAAAGTCAGAGTATCCAAATAAACCATAAATATCTACTCCATGTGCCAGCCACATGTGTAATAAGTGTGCAGGCTTACTTGAACATGATTTTGAAGCCAAAATAAGATTGCTTGTGCTCCCCAGGAAATTACAAAAGGTACACCAAAGCCATGAAATAAAAAAAAAAGGGGAATTAGAGTTGTAGAGTTGCTGACCCTTAACTGCATTACAGCGAGCACCAGAAATATCTGTTCCTTTGACAAATTCCTGAGGATTAGAGGTGTCAAAGAAGGCAGAAGCTGTTTGGAGATTATAAAACAGAGGTTAGAGTGCCCTCAGTGCCATTCAAAACCTCTCATGCCCACCCAAGCTTCTCCAGCAAAGGTGAGATTGCTGTGAGTCACAGCTCGAGGCTGAACCGGCTATGAAAGTTCCCGCATCCTACTACCTAAAGCCATGGATCAGCTGGGTAACTTTTAAATGCATGGACTCTGTGCCATGCTGGCAGTGATTTCTCACAGCAAACTGCCTAGATGCTGCTTGCACTGTGCTAGAATTAAGTTAACACACAAGGTCTATGTGGTGTGCCGATTAGTGCTGGCTGCCAGCCAGGTCTGTATCCCTGCTGCGAAGTCACTTTTATTGGTGTTTCCCTGCAGGAAGCTCCTGTTTTACACTGATGAAAGTCATTACATTTTTGTTTGTTTAAAGCATCATTAAACCTATAATCACAATTGTGGCCTCACAAAACTGTTCCATAATTCATATAAAACTCCCACAAAGGCTGACCTAGAAAGCAACAGCATCTCTGTGCTAGGCTTAGTACAGGAGAAGAGCTGAGATCCCAGCTCTATGTGGACATAAGGTAAAAGCCATTCAGAAAAGACAACCAATTCCTCCAAGTACTAACAACCATTTCAGATACCCACAGGCTATTCAAGCTGAGTCACTGCTCTACTGGCAGCTGTTTCAAAGTTGCCCATAGTCTGTATTTCACTCATGGTCACAGAGAAGACCCTGCAGGTCAAAGCTCACATTTCAAAGATTCTCACTGACTGCTCTGACCCAGCTACTAGACTTTGAAACATATGAAGGGTCCTAAGCAGGAAAAATTCTGCTAGCTGTGTCTGGTGAACTGAAGACTAACCACTATGGCTTCCAAATGAGCTATAGCTAGTCATCTTCAACCAGATGAACATGTCCCTGATGATCATCCCCACAGGAAAACCATCTGGTTGTAAAATGAAATTAACAGTTAACAAAATGGAGATTGCTGTGATTGGAAAAAAACAAAACCAAAACAAACCAACAAACAAAAACAAAACATGAAAAACATATGCAATAAACATGGAGAATATAGAACAGGCTATTATTGATCAAGTGTTCCGTCAGGATAATTACATTGTAGTTTTTAATGAACAACCAGCGAAAAGAAGTTTCTAATAAATAAACAGTTCCATTAAAAATTGCAGGTGGTTATCCTTTAAAATGGCAACTCGTTATGCAGTAGATTAAATACAACAGTGCCAAGTTGTAATATTTATCTTGAATAAAACAATATGCCAGCTTTGATAATTGTTAATATTGTGTAACGTAATATCATATTTGAATTTCATATGCAGATAAGCAGGTGTAAGTGCAAGAAAGATCACCTGCATTCTAGGGAAGAGCAGACTAGAAGGCCATATTGAACCATCCTGGCCTAAAAATCTGAGTATGATACCATGCTTTAAGTCTTTTTTACACAGACTTCTCCATTTTGCAGCCTTAGACAATCACATTCTAAGTAGAATCAGGCTGTTTTGCTGCCTCAGATTCCCCAGCCAATATTTAGAGCTTGGAAAGGTGATGGAATTTACAAGCTATTTCCCTATTAAAAAAAAAACAGACCACAGAATCAAAAAATGTTTCTCCTCTTGCTGCATTGAGACCTTGTGCAAATCGGAGAAAAAATTATTAGCATTAGGGAAAGGTAAAACCAGCAAGGAGAAAAATGCTGGCAAATGGAGAAATTAGCATGCCAAAAATACCTGAGAGTGGATTTTCTATAATTTCTTTCAAGTAAAGCAATTGAAAGTCTGCTTGTAATAAGAAATGGTTGAAAAGAAAAAAAAAAGAAAAAAGTTTGAGGTGTGACTTCTAAGTTAACAATTCTCCACTGATCTCTGTAATGGCTTATGTCTGTTTCGGTCTTTATTTATATATATATCACTTAAGACTCCCGTACCCCATAAATACTCAGGCTTGCCATAATAAACTCATATTGCATGATACAGATGCCACGTATACTACAGTTCTTTCCTAAAGAAACATTATGTCATTGGAGCTCTGCTCTTTGAGGCTTTCTTTGGGGAATTAAAGGCTATGTGTTGTATTACAGAACGCACATGCACACAAAAATATGTGCCAAAATTCATAATAACTAAACTTCAAGACAAAATAATTTTGGACTTGGAAGAGCCAAAAGGAAAGCCCAAATATCCTGATTCCTCACTGTACCAAGTCAACAGTCCCATGGATGATAGTGAGAATACCCACATACTTGTTTTGAAGCACGTGTTTTAGTTGTCTGTTGGTAAGGACTAGAACTAGTGATATTAGTCTACTACTTCAGCTCTTCTAAGCAAAATGAATATTATAAATATATAAGCACATACAGTAAGAGCATTCATATAGCATCACAGCTATAACAAAGATATCTACTCTTGTACAGTACTTTTCACCAGTACATCTCAGAGATCTTTATGAAAAACATCTAAGTCTCTAGCTTACAGGTGGGGAAACTAGAACAAGTGAGTTTCTTGAACATGCTGCCACTATGACTTGGTTGTGGGGGAAGGAGGGTTGGTGATGAGGCAAACTCAGCCTGAATTAATTTGAAACAGCCTCATAAGCCCACAAAGCGGATGTATATGGTGACAGCATGCAGTAGTGAGAGGGGAAAACAGTCCGACAAATGAATTTGGAAATCCCTTCTACTCTTCTGTTCCCTGTGCCAGACTGCAGTCTAATATAGCTGA